CTATTAAAGTATACTAGAATCAAGGAAAGATTATAGTTTTTCTTTTATTATTTCTACACCAAAATCAGAGATTACAGGAAAGGACCAGTTTTACTGGAAAACTCTTAGGATGGAGTCATTTATACATATTAGTTTTCCATCTATAGTATTGTATTGTTATTACTGCTCATGAAATGCATTTAATTTTTTAGGCAGGCATGTTAAATTGAGTTTAGAGAGACATTTCTTAAAAGGGAAAACCCAAAGGTTCTGAACACTCATACATTACAGTATGTGAGTAATGAAGTCCATATGATTGTCTTCCAAAGATAGTTTGCCATTTAAGGCAGCAATCTGCCCTCCAGACTTCTCAACAAGACAAAACAATTATTTTAGCATTCCTACTGCCAATGGATGCATTTTCTTTTACAACAGAGTCAGAAATTTGGCAGCTATGTAAATATGCAAGGTTTAATACATGAAATAGTATGATCATGTATTTGTGTAGATGTCTCCCCTTATCATGAAACAATTATGCACCTACAGAGAGGTTACTTGTGATAAGCTTTGGAAACTCTTAGAAACGCTGGGTCTATACAGCATGTTAAGTCATAATATGTTTGGTATTTGCTTAACACAATTTGTGAATCCAGTCATTCTGATTTGTAAGCAATGGGTTACGGCTTAAATAATTACACAAACACAGCCAGTTGAGGTTTATTTAATAAAAGATAGTTTAAAAACAATGGCTTACAAGATGACAAAGTGACAAGATGCAAAGCAACAATCTTATTTTTTAAATTATTTTGCAGAGAAGGGAGGCTCTTTCTAATATATACAAAGAAGCAACAGAACCATTACCTGCAACCGGTCATTCTGCTGTGGCTAACTTCGTACTGACTTTGTATTCTGGGAACTGTACTGGTAATCTATTTTGTAGTTAACAGGGTTGTGAAGGATGCTCTACTATGGTGTTTCTTAAACTTTTTTCTCTGAGATCCCCTTCCCACTTTCAAAATTTATGGAGG